GGTTCTGACAAATACTTCAAACAACGGAATGATTCTGCCTCATGTTCAAGGCATTTCCCAGATGAAACTCTTCTGCTTAAGCAGCTCAGGAACTTATCTGTATCCAGATACTCATTGTTCTCTACTCTGCTCTTGTTCAGTTCACAGTGGCTGTGGGCTTCCTGTGCCTGATGTCTTCAGAACCTAATACTTTCCCTAGGGTGATCGTTACAAACAAGCTGTAAGATGAGTGTCCGTATTTCCCTAGTGAGGAAAGGAAGAGGTAGGGAGGTTCTCTTGCTCAAGATCAAAAAGTTCGGAAAAGGCACAGCCTGGGTTTGAACCCAAATTCTGTGCTTCAGATCCCAGTGCCCCTTCCTAGGCTGTACTGCAGAGTCTCAGTAGTGTTACCCGGTGGCACTCTCTTTAGTGACCCTCTGTTCTTTTCAGGTTCTTTCTGGCTTGGGAGTCCCCTGTACTGTTTCCTGAGTGCTGTGACATGTCAGGGGCTGATGGGCTGTCTGAACAGCAGCAGCAGTGATTGAGGTTGGTTTGTACATCGCTGGGGAGTCTGTTTCTCTCTGTGTGTGTCTTCACACTCCAGGCTTCCCAAGGACAGGGACATGCAGCATGCTCTTCCCTGCCTCTTTGGTGTTAGCATTTAACCCTTGGGGAAATGCAGTAGTTAGTGGAGGCTAACTCAACACATGGGCAAGCAACCAACGAGAATCGTGCATTATATCTGCACTAAGTGGATATCACATCCTCAGACTCTCTCCTTACAGCCACAGACTGTGAATCCTAATAGATACCCTTGTTTTCCTTTTTACGACAGAAATCCCAACGTGCTCCCTATTGTGGTAAGTATCATATCTGATACCCTTCCTAATTAGCATTACGCTTTAAGCACTTTTAAAATGCCCCATTATGCATTTGTCCGATAGTCCCTGGCAGCTCTGATATGCAATTGCTGTTATGGATTACCTAGCGCTGTCATTAGATAACCAGAGAGTCTGAAACATGTGTAAAGGCAATTAGGAAAATGATCAACTGTGTCTGGCTGGCAGAAGAGGGGACAGGATGGTGGTTTTGTTTTGGAACTACAGTAAAAACATGGCGACCGGGAAGGAATCACTGCAACAATGGAGAATTTGGCACAGTAGCAAGGGGTTTGGGGCAATTGTGTTATGTTTCTGTCGCTGTTCACAACTGACTGTGCCCGCCAGCTACTCCTAGACTGTCCCAGAGGAGCAAGGGGAACCAGCACAGGGAGAGACGTCGCCAGGGAGGGCCCCTCATCGGCTCCCCTGGAGCACACCCCCCAATCGGAATGACCTTCCCCAGCTTTGCTGGTGTGGCCTTGCAGCTTATTAGTTCACTACTCAACACTTTCCCTTACACGGTACGGTTCCTCCCTCGAACACAAGGACAGCTGCCTTCAAAGGAGCCGCTCAAGATCGCCCAGCGTTCTCAGAGGGAGCACTTGAGCTGACCGTTGTGTCCGCAGTTCTTGCTTGCTGGAGAATTGTTGAAGCGTCAGAATAATGAACGTGACAAGCTCTCTGAAGGAGCATGATGTGGCTTCTGGGGTTTGGCGTGTTAGAGAAATGGCGTAGGTGGAAAGAAGTAGGCTTGCTGAGACTTTTAGAAGCATACAAGCAAATCATGGCTAAAACACTGTTTGTGTTCTTCCTCAAGGCCGGGACTGACTGTGTGCTCCTGGCTTTTGCTCTCCAGCCTTTAGAGGGATGCTGATGGAGGCTGAGGAGGTAGATGCGCATCACACTTGAGGCTCCAGATACAGTAAGGGTCAAGGGACTGGGTATGCTCTATGGGGGGGGACAGTGATAAACAGGATTGTAGCCAAAGCAGATTGCAGGGCTGAGAGATGTCTGGCTCTGTGGGTGAAAACTTTTGCTGTGTGAACAAGAGGACCTGAGTTCAAATCCCCAGCACCCACATCAAAGCTGGGCATGACTGCACATGACCGTAACTCTAAGATGGGGGGCGGGGGCAAGAACAGGTGGATCTTGGGATCTTGCTGGTTGACCAGGCTAGCTGAAACAGTGAGTTTCTGGTCTCTAAAATAAATTAGAGCAATGGAAGAAGACACTCAAAGTCCTTCTTTAGCCACTGTGTATGCACACCCAAGCACGCACACCTGAGTGCGCTAGTACACACAACACATCCACACACAATAAAATAATGTTTAAAAATTGATCCAACAAATAATGGGACTTATTGGCAAGGCTGTTGAGGGATTACAGGGGGAAAGAGTCTGACATCCATGAGGCTCTGTGCCTGGTTCTTTACTTCAATAAATAATTCATCCCGAACAGTACCTCTCCAGGAAGCCGGTTCAGTTTTCAGCGGGGAAAACTAACTTTTAAAACCTTTTTTATTGAAGGCATTATGCATCTCCTGATAGAAGCACGAAAATAACCTCTGAATTTTCTTGCCCCAGATAAATCTCCAGCTTTGAGTCTCTAGATCCTCTGGTCACTGGCAGCGTATCTGAGCACACTTGAGCATGCTAAACAAAAGTGCTGTGGGAATGCAAACAGCAAACCCAGGCACGGGCAACCACAGGACTGAAAACAGCTTATCCTGAGGCAGCTGGAAAACCTCAGGCATTCAAAGAGGAGAAAACACTGCCATCAGTCTCCTAGGCCTGCAGTTAGATCGGCCAATATGATCTCAGAGCTCCGACCCCTTGGTTGTCCTGTCACTGTGTCCAAAACTATTACCATGCGCCTTTAAAACTCTCATAGCTCCATCATCCTGCTTAGATTAGCAGTAACCCCTTCAGTATCAATGTTGTCCCCTGAGGACATTCATACACTCTTGGTAGTTCAAGTTAAGAGCAAATAGTTTCTTTTTCCTTCCTTCCTTGTACAAAACCTTGGCTGTCTTGGAGCTCCCTGTGTCGTCCTTCAAGGCTGTCCTTGAACTCACAGAGACCCTCCTGCTTCTGTCTCCAAAGTGCTGCGATCAAGGCGTGTGCCACCATGCCCGCCTGCCTTTCTTTTGTTCTAGTTGCAATACAGATGCAGTCTGGGTATGGACCTTGTTGCTGTCTCCTATCCTTTCCACGGAAACCCTTTACCTGCCTCCTGGTAGTTTTCTTGGAATTTGTTGAAGAAGTCAGGTCTGGCTCTTTACGTTTTTATGTTCGGAACTTTCCAACTTTGTCCCTCTGTTTTTGTGTGATGCCATCCTCTTTCCTTTAAACTGGAAGATAACAATCAGCTTGATTAGATTCTTAGACACAACGTTGGGCAAGGAGCCACCCTGGTACACACTGGTGTGTACCTTCTAGAGGAGGCAGTGAGTGCCAGGCCCTGCCTGTCTGCCTCTCCCAAGTTAATTTGTTAGCTTACAAAATAAAGGCTTTTCTTAGCTGTTTCACACATACGTCATTGTTCCTTGTCCGTACTCATCCTCTCCTCCCTATCACCCCACTGCCCCTGCCGTTCCCATACCTTGGCTTATTCTGTAGCACATTCAGCTCCCTCTCCAGCCAGGAAGTGGGAGGCGTTAGTGGAGTGCTAATACCGATGTCTGATTCTGTGCACAGTCTCTGAGCATCTCCCCATTGCCTTCAGATATTAACTTGGTGGTAAAATATGAAAAGAATTGGCCAGAAAGGCACCGGGAACGGAAACTATCTCCCGGGAGCCTTGGCGTGCTGGCCACGAAGGCCGTCCGCGCCGTGAGCGGCTGAGGTGTGGCTGGCTGCAGGGACTCCACTGCTCTGAGGAGGAAGGTGACAACCACAGAGCTGGTAACAGTTTGGGTCCTGTAGTTTTATGAGAGCCCCTTGTTTGCCAGAACGCTGGGTTCTGTGACCTTTGAGTCAGCTGAACTCCCAGGATGAACAGAGAAACCAGAAATTACCCAGAACTGTTAAAGCATTCTGATGAATTAAGAACTCACTATGTCTTTGCCCTGCCCTTAAAGTTTGGAAAAGGAATTTTTTTTACTTTTTTTGAATTAACTATTTTTTTTCCAGATAACAGTATTACGCTTGTTAAAATGAACACACACAGAGAGAGAGAGAGAGAGAGAGAGAGAGAGAGAAAGAGAGAGAGAGAAGCATGTACCTTCCACTTTAGAAATGTCTAAAAGAGATCCTCTGTGATGTAGATAAAAGTCTAGAAACAAATCTGTCCTTCTGTTTTTGCCAGATATTTTCGGCAGTGGTGGAAGGAGGGCTATCCAGTGCTAACCTGTTTGGAGCTGGAATTTGTTTGAGCGGTCCATCTTGGAATCTGGAGAAAAGCTAAGCTAGAACACAGACACAAAAACCCCACAGAAGAGATTAAAAATAATTTAAATAAAATAGCACTGTGTTAGCCATGGCTTTAACACCCACCTTTTCCTTTAACAACATGTCTTGGGAGGTAGGAAGCCTATTTATCTACAATGGGCATTAAACTAGAGCTACTGGACAGGGATTGCTTAGAGACTGTAGTGACGGAGGTAAGAAAAGAAAACTCACCTCTTACTAGTTAATCAGCGGGAAGATTGTATCATTTGTTACTGTAAACAGTTTGTTTGGGACTTTGTTCAGGGAAGCCCTAGGACTAAGGCTTAGACCTTCCTGAGGCTCATCTTCTCTTGAGCCCCTGCCTGGGTTTGGCCCAATTGGCCTCATGGACTTTTCAAGGTTTTTTTGAGACAGTGTTTCACTATGTAGTTCTGGCTGGCCTGAAACTCACTTTGTAGACCAGGCTGGCCTCGAACTCACAGAGATCCACCTGCCTCTTCCTTCTTGAGTGTTGGGATTAAAGATGTGTGGTCTCATAGGAGGCTCAGTGAGCTTGTTTTTTTTTTTTTCGAGGTTGAAGAGTAGTGTAATTTTAGCATCCAAGAGAGTAAAACAAACAGCTAATGCATCCATCAGGAGCCCATGAACTGTGAACACACAATGTTTCAGAGCTTTACAAGAGGTACTGAAATAACTGTGGGCTTCACTATGGAACGAGTGCTATTATTTATTGTAACCAGTAGGAGCCCCCAAACAGGTGCAGACAACCACATCCGCTTTCCTTCAGAGGACAGCCTCATTATACTTGTCGTGTAAGTCAGCGACATTGTCACTGGACACATGGATCCAGCCATCCTCCCGCACGTGGTAGAGGTTGACTGAACCTCCAGAGTAGGCATCTCTGTAGGTGGCTTGGTAGATGGCTCGGCGGGCCAGATCATAAGCATCCTCCACTTGTAGGTCATAGGAGTAGCCTCGATCCATGACCCCATAAGCATACACGGAGCCAGAACCCACTGAGAAGGCAGTTCCAGAGATCCGGTTCCCCTCACTGTCTACATAGTAGAGGCCGGGGCCTCTCTTGTCCCAGCCACAGATCATGGTGCCCATGGACAGCCCCATGCCCTTGTACTGATACACCATGTTGGCAAGAAGCTTGGAGGCCGCGGCAGTGAGCTTGTTTTTATCTTGGATCTAGTGCCAGCAGAGCAGTAATCTCCCTCCCCTTCCCTCCCCTCCCCTCTCCCTTCTCACTCCAACCTCTGTTCCCCCTCCTCCTTTCCTCCCTTTCTTCCCTTCCCTACCCTTCTCCTCCTCCTCCTCTTCCTCTTTTGCTTTCAGATTTAAAAGGTATGGAATGTGGTAGGGGGCCGAGGAAGCCCTGAGTGAATGTGTGTTGTTTGACGTGGGCATAGCGATAGCAAGACCCAAGGCCTCAGACCCTTGGGAATGGCCAAGCCTTTTTCTAGTTGGGGTTCAAATGCTGGCAGTATGCAAAAAACAGCCTCAGTCTGTTGCCTTCAGAGACCTGCTACCAAGACTAACTCTTCCCCATTGTGCTGTACGTAATAAATGCGCTAAGGGTCCAGGTTGTTGAGGGAGGGGTTGGTGTCTCTCCACCTAACCCTAGCTTTCCTGTTTGCGTATCCATGTTGGCCATTTCTTCATTCTCTTGGCCCCAGTCAGGTTTCCAGAACCCAAGCTGTGCTGTATGCCGCAGAATGTGAAAGAGAGACGTGTAATGAAGGCATTTGTCTTATTAATCATGTTCAGGACTTGAAGCGAGTTCTCTCTGAGCAAAAACAAAAGGTCGAGTTACTGCCCTGAGGTTCCTAAATATATATTTCCCATAATAGCCCAGGGCTGAGAAGAAATTTGTTACCAAGACAATGGATTGAGGACGTTCCTTTCACTGAATTCAGGCTGTGGGGTGGGCTTGGGTCTGCTGCAGCCAGGGAGTGATTAGAAGGCTTCTGCATGTATCTGCATATTTTCTCAAATGCGATCCACAGGCCACAATGCAATTAGAGCACAAACCACCAAGTTTAGCTTCTGAACGCGGAGACGCTCTGGGCCTGACTTGCATATTAAAGTCATCCGCGAGCCCACGCTGTCAATCCGCAGTCTGTTTACCTGCCACACACACCCCTCCCAGGACTCTCTTGTTTTTGGTTCTTTTTAAAAACAAGATCATAAATAGAGGACTTAGAATCTACTTACTAAAAACTTAACGAGTAACCCAAAGAACCAAACTCCACCCCGGAAACCGACTCCATGCAAGCATATTTTTGCCAGCTTGGGTTTTCCGCTCCCATTATCTGCGGTAGTTTTCTCCCATGGAGTGCCATTTATGGACAGCTGCCGAGCCTGGTTGAGACGACAAGCCCCTGGAAGAAGAGTTAGCATATAAAGTGTGGTGGTCGGGGCAACAATCTTCTCCCCAGGGCTCTCTTTTATCAACCAACCCTGGCCACAGAATAGAGCCCCGTGTTTTATGTTTCAAGTGTACCATATGGCACGATATGAGTGTGCTTTAATGACTTATTAGCATATTCCTCCAATGAAGCTTTCCTAGTCACACCAGCCTGACAAAATCTGAATTTCAAAATATTTGCCGCAAAGGTCCTGGCGTAAACAAGGCTTGGTCGTTTGCACGCTCCACTCGAGGGCGTTGATCTTTCATGGCGATGCCCGTGGACACCTTCGGGTCAGCCACTTCTCTCTTGCCCTGGACCTGAACACTTTCTGGATGGTGTCCCCATGACATGAGGTGTCTCCACTCTGCTTATATCCTGGGCTTTAAATAACACTCTGCCTTCTGCGACCTTAATCTTCCTTTGTGGGAATGAGACGCTGGCCTAATGCTAGTCACCTGCTTGCCTCATTTTTTTTTTTAAAAGGCTGTGAGCATTTGGGGCAGAACTAGATACCAGTTCAGGGATGGGGTTAAGGGTTTCTACTGTGGCTTTCCAGGAGACAAAAGCTTGGAGGTGGTTCACGTTTGCATTGTGACCGCTTTAATGAAAGTGGGGTGTGCAGGGACAGAGGTTACCAGAGCACAGTCACCATCCTCCCAACAGAGGAACTGGCCTTAGCATCTGCTGTACTTTTTAAATGCAGCTGAACTTGTCTCCTGCTTCCACCTTGGGCGTGATGTCCGTGAGATGGCTGGAGACACATGAGAAAAAGCAAAAGACTAAAAGCTGATAAGAGAAAATGAAACAAGTAACCAGGTACGGTACCATAAACTTGTAGTCTAGCACCAGAGATGCAGAGGCAGGGGGACTGCAAGTTTGAGAACACAGTGGCCATATAAAAAAAACATATAGAAGAAAGATACTAAGAAGTGAAACAAAAGACCATGTGTGTTAAAGGCACTAAGAGACTGGGGATGCAGCTCAGTAGGGGAAAGTGTGTGTTTGTCATGCTCAAGGTCCTGGGTTCACACCCCAGCACTAGGTAACGTTGCTTGCTGGCTTACTCTGGAGGCAGGGTGGTCAAGAGTTCAAGGTCATCCTCAACCATAAAGTGACTTTCAGATAAGCCTTGGGCTATGTAAGATCCTACTGAAAAAAATCGAGGGGGATTGTTCATTGAATTTTCCTAAACATTCTGCCTCCAGAGATCAGGAGAGGTCAGGGTAGCTGAGACACTGGCTTCAGGAGAGCTAAGGAAATTCCCTGCCTTCAAATACTGTGCTCCTTAGACACCACTTACTCTGCTCCTCCAGAGTGAATACATTTGGAGCTGGGGTCTTCAGGAGGTGGTTAAGGCTAAATGATATATGATATGAGCGGATCCTTAAACTGATTTTCACCCCAGCCACTCACCCCAACACCCCACCCCCACCCCCGCCTCCCCACAGTGAGGTGTAGTCAGAAGGTAGCCATCCTCAGCCAGAAAAGGACCTTCACTAGGGCCTGACTTGGCTGCTACCTTGATCTCAGACTTCAGCTGCCAGTACTGTTAAAAATAAGTTCCCAGAAACACGTAACCCCAACTGTATTAAATTATGCCAACATTAGCTAGGCATGATGGCATACACCTGCAAAGTCTCAGAAGGCAGGGGCAGAGGCAGGGGGATCTGGAACTGGAGGCCAGGCTGTGATACACAGAGTCAGTTTGTTTCAAAATAATGTGATACCCAATAAACAAATTATATTAATAACAAATTCTTTCTGTTGTCTGCATCTCTAAGCGGTGTTTCTGTTGCTTAGGTCACCTGAGCAGAGCAAGGTAAGCAGGCATGGCTGTTGTGCCCCTCTGGCTGGTGAAGAAACTGGAGCTCAGAAAGCTGAAGTGTTTTCAAGGTCACAGAGCTAATAAATGTCACCCTCCCCTTCTTCAAGAGGTGATTGAGCAGCCTGTGGCTGGTGTGTGGTCACTCCTGCTAATAACTTCAAAGGAGATTGTCTCAATTTCTAAAACTGTAACAATGATGCCTTTAGGACCGGAGTCAGCAGGCGTTTTCTGGAGCAAGCTGGAACGACAGCCCCAGCCCGTTGTTCAGACTTTCCGGCCAGCTGGCCACGTGGTCGCTGTTGTAACTCCCCAGCTCTGTGCTGTAAAAGCAGCCAGGAGCAGTACCTGACTGGACAGGCAGGGGTGTGTCCAGATGAAACAGTATTTGCAAAACCAGAAGGCTCACTCCATTTGCTCTATACTGAGGGTCGCAGTCTGCTGAGTACTGTTTAAAAACGTGAAACCCCAGTGTCTGAATGAGAGGAGACGGGTTTGAATTCTGCTGCATGAGCTTTCAAGAGAGAATGGTCTGCCTGCCCTGCCAGCCCACCAGGATCGCTGTGGTCTGTGGAAGATACCGGATGAAGGAGAGCGCTGAAGAGGAGAAGGCACTTATGCAGAAAGAGTTTGGTGCCGGCAGATTTGATTCATAGCTCCACTTGCTCCTGGATACTCTGCCCAGCAGAACATCTCTGGCTTAGGGACTGGAGCCAGCTGAGGCTCCCATTGGGCCCTCGCAGGGAAGATCCCATCTCCTCTCCCGAGGGTGGGGGGAGCACCTCCAGTTATTTAGGAGGCTGAGGAGAGGTCCAGGCTCCCCGTGTGAAGGGCTTTCCTGGACTTGGAGCCCAGTCTCAGTGACAAAGCTGTTCATCTGCATCAGGGAGGGGCACATGGAGCAGAGGCGGAGCTAAAGTCCCCCCAACCAGTTTCCAAAATGAATGTTGACCTTGATTCTCATTCTCTCTCTCTCTCTCTCTCTCTCTCTCTCTCTCTCGACAGGGTTTCTCTGTGTAGCTTTGAAGCCTGTCCTGAACTCTCTCTATAGACCTCAAACTCACAGAGATCCGCCTGCCTCTGCCTCTCAAGTGCTGGGATTAAAGGTGTGCGCCACCACTGCCTGGCATTTTTTGTTTTATTTTTCAAGACAGAGTTTCTCTGCATACCCTTGACTGTTCTGGAACTAGCTCTGTAGAGCAGGCTAGACTCGAACTCATAGAGATCTTCCTGCTTCTGCCTCTGCCTCCTGAGTGCTGCGGTTAAAGGCGTGCGCCACCGCCATCTTGCTCTTTATCCATCCTTCTCTGTGTTCTTGTGTCTTGATAGGTACCGACAGAACACTGAACGAGAGGCACTGTTTTCCTCCCTCCCTAAGGGCAGGGCATGGTGAAAAAGTGCTTTGAGAGCTGAGCTGCACTGCACATACTCAAGGCCTCATGCCTTTACTTCCTACCTGATGTTTTGTAAACACCCGGATCCCTGTGACTTGGGAACAGATTGTGACTCTCTTCCATCTCTGCACAGAGGGGATCTTCTATGAGGCTCAGTGGGTTTGATTTCTGGGCTTGTCCATGTTCTAGACAGCAAGCATTTCACACTGAAAGGGCCTCGTCTTTGAAATCTGACCTGACCCCACCAGCTACCTCCCCACCTCCCCAGAATGTCCATTTCATTTTCCGGAGTCTTCCTCCTGATGGTCACCCTGTCAGACCCTCACTCTGACACATGTCATCATCTTCTTAGTCTTTGTTTTCTATGGGGACAAGGTCAAGGGACAGTGACACTAGCAAAGCCCTGAAGCTTAATGGGACCAATTAGCTCACATGTGCCACAGACAGGAGCGCGCACTATTTATGGCACCCAGAAGTGAGAAAATGTCCCCCGCCATGGGTATCACGTAACTCTCACGGCTCTGGCAGGGTTTGGCTGTGAAACACGAAGCCTCTGAAACACGTCGGCGTGAAGTGTGCACCGAATATTCAATCCAGACATGCCCTGCTCAGACTATTCCGGGGCTCATAAACCTTTCATCAGAATCGGGGTGAAATGCTTGGCCTTATTTGTAAGTCCCATATTTCTTAAGACCTTGGGGGCTTATTTAGTATTCCCAGAGAAGGTCACAAGGCTTTTTTTTTAGGGGTCCTGGTTTAGTGGAACGGATGACTTTAAGGCGGGGGATGCTTTTGTGACTTTCTAGAAACAAGAACCACGCTCTTGTGTATGTCACGCCCCTCTGTTCCACTTCTTCTCCCAAGCTGCTTCTCCTGAAACAGCCAGGACATAACTCCCTCCTATGGCTGGCTGCATAGAGCCCTTAAGTTTTCTAATAAGAATGCTGAGCTCCACCCCTGTCACATTCCCTCATTCCATGCATTATATTCAAATGGAATGTTTCCGTGTATAGTTTGGGGTGAATCCCATTGCCCCTCCTCAGTTTCACCTTCTTTTTTTCTTATTAGAAATGGACTTTTTTTCCTCACACAATATATCCTGATTATGGTTTCTCCTCCCTCTGCTCCTCCCAGTTATTCCCCACCCCCTTCCCATCCAAAGCCACCCCTTTCTGTCTCTCATTAGAAACAAAAACAGCCTTCTAAGAGATTATAAAATATATTACAATATAATGAAACAAAAACTAACACACCAGGGCCCAGACGGCAGTGGCGCACGCCTTTAGTCCCAGCACCCAGGAGGCAGAGGCAGGCGGATCTCTGAGTTCAAGGCCAGAACAGGACAGGCTGCTCAGAGAAAACCTGTCTGAAAAAACAAAACAAACAAAAACCCAGTCGCCTGTAAGGCAGCCCCAGCCACAATACGGAATTCAGGGCAGGAAAACTGATTAGAATAAATACCTGGTTAATTTGTCTGCTAGTTGTTGAATAATCCATAGACACAGCAGCTGTGATCCCCTGCAGGACACCGCTCTGGGAGTCTCAGGCTGGGATACCAGAGTCACCTGCAGTTACTTCAGGAAAGCTTTGTAACACCTCGAGCCTCAGTCTGCTCATCAGCAAAATAGAATTAATCCCCATCTTGTAGGACTCTATGAAGATTCAAGGGAAAAAAACATGTAAAATGCCTAGCAAAGTCTGCACACCACAGAGAAGCCTTGGCTGTTACTGTTGGTCAACAGCGAGCCAAGCCACGAGTTCCCCCTTCCGGAAGAGAGAATGGCCACATTTTGAGAAGATCTCCCCAGGCCAGAGACGCCTGGTGTGTCAGAGGCGGTGACTTTCTGGGTGCCAAAGCCCAGCCTCCCCCAAGTCAGTGACGGCACCGCCAAGGGAGGCACTTTCTGGAAAGGATGTTGCAGGAAGTGGAGTCAGCGAGTAACAGGCATGACAGGGCCACATGGACCCACCATCTCTCGAAAGTCACCAGAGACAGGGCATCTGGACAACGCCTTGCGGTTGTAAGTGTGAGGCTGTTGAGTAAAGGGAACAGCTTTTCTGCTTTGTAAATGAAGCCCATATGGCACGTGGTGACAGGAACCCAAGACAGCTTGGCTTTGGAACCTCCGGAGGC